AAAAACAATCAATGTAAGTCATCACATTAATAAAGCAAATCCTAGGAATTGATGCAGAAAAGGCCTTTGACAAAATCTAAAATCGCTTCCTGATGACAACACTCAGCAAAATAGTGATAGATGAGAATTTCTACAACATAGTAAAAAGTATATACACAAAATCAAGAGCCAATATCATTCTCAATGGAGAAAGACTACATGCATTCTCCTTGTGAACAGGGAAAAGACAAGGCTGTCCACTGTCACCACTCCTCTTCAGTATTTTATTGAAAGTGCTTGCTAAGGCAATAAGGCAAGAGAAGAAAGTAAGGCATCCAGATCAGCAAAGAGTTGGTCAAACTGTTGCTATATGTAGATGATAGTATACATAGAAAACTCCAAGGACTCAACTGTTAGAGTTGGTAGACAAATTTAGTAAAGTGGCAGATTACTAGATCTACACAAGTCTGTGAGATTCCTCTACAGTAACAAAGAAAACACAAAGAAGGAAAATAAGCAATATCATTTACAACAGCCAATCACAAATTGAGATATTTAGGAAGAAATCTAACTAGAGAAACAAAACACCTTTATGAAGAAAACTACTAAACACTCTGAGAGAAACAATAAAAGACCTAAACAAATGGGAAGATGTTCCCTGTTCATGGATAGGAAGACTCAGCATAGTGAAAAATGACCTACAAAAAGCAATCTACATGTTTAATGCAGTACCAATACAAATACCAGGTTCATTTTTCAAAGAAAAAAGGCAACTGGCATGTTTATTTGGGAAGGAAAGAGACCGTGAATAAGCAAAGCAGTTATGAAAAGCAAGAATGAAGTGGAAGACATAGCACTCCCTGATCTCAAAACCTGCTATACAGATAAAATAACCAAGATAGCACAATGCTGGTACAATAACAGGCATATATATCAGTGGAACAGACTCGAGAACCCAGAAAATAACCAATCTATGGGTTATTTTATCATCAGCTGATATACAGGGAGTGAAAACCACTCAATTGGGGAAACAATTTTTTCAACAAATAATGCTGGCAAAACTGGACTATTACATGCAGAAAGCTGAAGCAGGATCTACGCCTCTCACCATAGACAAAATTCAACTCAAGGTGGATCAGAGACCTAGAGGTAAAGCCAAAACCCATAAAGACAATAAAAGACAGAATGAGACCACACTAGCCCATGGTCTAAAGAGACTGACAAATACAGCCAGAAATGTGCAACCAGGATAGGATAAAAATTATGGATGGGATCGTCTAAAGATTAAATGCCTGTCCTCATAAAAAACTTTTTTCAGCAAGGTGAAAAAAAACCCTACTGACTGGGAAAAAACAGTTGGCAATAATATCTCAAACAAGGATCTCATAACAAAAGTTGACTGATAACACAATTACAAAATGGGCAAAAGACATGGAAAGACTTTTCACAGAAGAAGACACTAGGATGGCCAATAGACACATGAAAAATGCTCAAAATCACTGTAATAAGAGAGATGCAAATCAAAATGACAATGAGATAACATCTCATCCCATTAGCAGTAGCAAAATTTAACAGGACAGCAAGCAATAAATGGAGAGAATGCAGAGAGATAACTCTCATACACGGTTGGTGGGATTTTAAAATGGTACAACCACTCTGGAAGGCAGTTTGGCATTTCCTCAAAAAGCTGAACAGAGGAATTACATATGACCCAGGTATTCTACTGGTAGGAATGTACCCCAAGAAAATCAGAACTGAGATACAAACGGAGATTTGTACACCAAGGTTTATAGCAGCATTATTGGCAATTACAAGAACATGGAAACGGCCTAAATATTCAATCACAATCAAATAGATTGAGAAATTGTGGTACACTCACATGATGGAATAGTGTGAAGAACTCAGGAGTAAGGATTTTAAAAATATTACATAAATTGGGAGAGTCTGGAGAGCATAATGCTGAGTAAACTAACAGTCTCATAAGGGCAAATACTGAATAAAACCATTATTATATAAATAGAATGACAACTAGTAAAATGTGTATTAGGATCCAAGGGGGAAGAGTGAGTGGTGAGGATGGGCAGGGGTAGAAATTATAGGGTTGCACAATTTGGTGGGTGGGGAAGGGGGTTAAAGGAAATGGGAAAGATCCAGTAGGGATCTGGAAAGATTCAATATAGTTCAATGTTGATTGACTTTATAAAACATAAGATTGTATGAAACACAATGGGAATTAAAGATAGGTTGAAACACAATGTATACAAACTTTGTAAGCAAACAAAAATAAAATAATTTTTTATTTCATATTAAAAAAAAAAAGAAATTCAGTGGTGTTTGCATTGGTCAAACCAGAAACAAAAGACCTCTTTAAAATGCTAAAGAATAAAGATACCATTTTGAGGTAAAAAATAACTGTCATGTATTGAATTGTGTTCACCAAAAAAAAAATATATATGCAATGATAAACTGGGAGCTAGGTGATGATCCCTATTGGCTGATAAACCAAATGGTTACAAAAGGATTAAGGATAGAATGCAATACCCCTTATTCCATCACAGCCAATGTAAGGAGAATTCTATGGTGTGGCCTGCAAAACCTTTCATGTGACCAGAAACAAAAAGAGGAGGCAAGTAAGCCAAAATGGAGAGACTCAGAACCACTAAGAAGAAATTACCAGGAGTGGATGCGTTTATTTGGACGTGGGTCCCTGTGAAAAGAATCTTCTGGACATTGGAGAAGGCCTTTGGAGATCTCAGAGAATGCCAACCCAGAAGATACTGAAGGAGGGCTTTCCTCCAGAACCTACAGAAAAAAGAGGTTTTCCCTACAGCTGGTACCCTGAATTTGGGCTTCTAGTCTCCTAAATTGTAAGATAATAAACTTCTTACTTATTAAAGTCATCTGTTTGTAATATCTCTGTTACAGCATCTGTCAATTACTAACACAGTGGCCTTCACCAAAGTCACGCTATCTTCAGTTGCCTCATATGCCTGCAAAAACTAGAGCAGGAAAAAAGGAAGACCAAGGAAGAACTGATGGCTTTGAACTGGTGTTGGTGAAGAATACTGAATGCATCATCAACCACCAGAAGAACAAATAGACTTGTCTCGAAAGAAGTACAGCCAAAATGTTCCTTAGAAGTGAGAATGGTCAGACTTTGTTATCAAGAGGGAACAATCCCTGGAAGATTCATGTTTAGTAGTTATTGATGTTGTAATATAATGTCTACGTGGAAGTAATTCATAGCTGACTGGCCCTCCAGCAGGTTTTCAGGGGCTGTAAATTGCATGGGCAGAAACTGTCCATCTTTCTCCTGCACAGCCGCTCGTGGATTTGAACCATGTACCTTTGGGTTGGCAATGCAACTCCTTACTGCTAGGCCACTAGAGCTCCCTTGGTAAACTAGAAAGTTAGCCAAAGAGAGGAAGAGCCTGAGTAAGATGGATTGGCACAGGCTACAGCAATGGGCTCAAATATGACAATGATACTAAGAACGGAACAGGACACAGAGATGAGTAAGGTTGTCCTCTAGGTCAAATGCAGGTACAGGGACCCAGTCCCTTACAGAAGTACTATGTGAGCGCAGTGTGAAAGGAAAGGTTAGGACTCTGACCTTGATCTTCACCACCTACTTCTGGCATCATTTTTTTTTTAATTCCTGGACACACAGTTTGACCAGCATTCAGATTTTTATCAACCTCCACATTTTCTGTACCTCAAGATTCTGTTACCCTATACATAGTTCTGCCTGCCTAGCTCAAAGCTGAAGCACTGTGCCCAACCTTCTCATTGCCAAGTTGGAACACCTGACGACTACTGAGGCCAACTCAGAGGGTGATGAGAACTGGAGTTGGTGTGTGTGCACATGTGACCAGGGCACTGAGGCTGGACACACAGAGAAAAGTCTCCAGAGGTGGATGTTGGTCCAGAGCTCAGAGTAGCCTCAGATCCATTATCTGGTAGACTGGAGTCTGGGAAGATTTCCTTATGTGGATTTCTTTTATTGGAAGTAAAATGGAGGTTTGTCTTTGTAAAGGTATAGCAGCCATGTAATGAGCTTTTTCTGCTTTTGTAGCCAGTGTCTGGTTTAGGGCCAAGATCAGCTTCAGCTCTAGCTCCAAAACCAATGCAAGATGTAGAGCCACATCCAGAACCAACTTTAATACCATCTCCTGAAGTAGAGCTGAGTCCTGGACCAACGTCAGAGCTAGACCCAACACCACTGACAGCTCCAGTCCTAGCTCACAGGCAGAGCCAGGTCAACCTTCCAACTTCCTTTCAGGACCTTATCTATTGCCACCACCTGAGACAGTACTGACACCTGGACCAACTCCAGACATATATCTACTGTCCAATACTCTATCAATAGGTCCAGTCCCAACATCACAGGTAAAGCTGGTTGCAGTGCTAGTCACCAACTAAATCTGGCACCTACCACCTCAGGAGGCAGAGCAGCCAGCTGATGCTCCAACACCAGAGCTAGCTCTAACTCCAGTTCAACACATATTACCTACTTCATCTCCAGTCCTTCAGCTACAGGCATTGTTAGGTCCAACCACAGAATCTTCCTTTTCCTCCCTAGAGAGAGCCCCCAATTTTGCCTTTTGGTTGTTTCTTTCAAGTATTATTTCATGGAATGTTTTTCATTTTAATACTTACATAAAATAAAATACTAATTTTAATAATTTTGAATTATATAATCCAGTAACTTTATGTACATACAAATCTGTCCAATAATCACCACTATCTTTTTTCACTATCTTACTTGGGTGAAGATTTTCAAGTCATATTAACAAATACGGCATCAGGATTGGAGGAAGACCTCTCTACAACCTGTGTTATGCAGATGATGCAAGTTTGCTAGCTGAAAGTGAAGAGGTTATGAAACACTTGTTTCAGAAGATCAAGGACTACAGCCTTCATTATGGATTGCATCTTTTTTTTTTTTTTCGGGCAAATAAACAAGGAAAAGTTTATTCTATTCACCTTTATTAATACATGTGCTAAAATAGGAGGGAGATTTATTTGCCTTTCCGTGCCTTGATTTTCCTCAGGTAGAATTCCAGCTCCTTGCCCTCTAGCACATAACCATCTGCACGGCTACACTGGCCTGGCCAGGAAGCAATACATGCAAGAAGCTTGCCCTGTTGGAACTGCTCCTCTAGAAGACTGCTGATTTTTGCATTCTTTTTCCTTTCATCGTATTTTTTCTGAGTTCTCTTTGATCGCTTTTTGTTTAAAATCTCTTCCTCCTCAGGAGTCAGCTTAGCCCCCTTCTTGCGACCCAGGGGTAGCGCATAGTGGGACTCATACCACTGGCGGTATGGTGTACTGTCAATGAGCATGATGCAGTTCTTCACGAGGGTCTTGGTTTGGACCAGTTCATTATTGGAGGCGTTGTAGACAACATCAATTTTCCTTGTTTTGCGAGTACAACATTCAGAGCCCCAGGAGAAATGCCCCACATCCAATCTTAGGGCACGGTACTTCTTGTTGCCTCCTCTCACACGAACTGTGTGTATACGTCGGGGGCCAATCTTAGTGTTGGCAGCCAGGCGTCCCAGCTCATACTTTCGCTTCTTGTGGTAGGGCTTTCTCTTGCCCCCGGTCTTGCGGCGCTTGTGCCAGTTGTCCCGGGAGATGCCTGGAGCGGAGCTCAGTGGCCAAAATCTGAAAACCACCTCGTCTCATGGCTCTTCGTTACCAGGAATTAGGGCGCTCGCACTCTTAAATTGGTGCAGGGAGGATGGCACCGGATTGAACTCACCCCCCCCCCCATCATAGCCACATCGCTCAGAGAGTATGGATTGCATCTTAACATTAAGAAAGAAAGGTCCTCACTACAGAGCCAAAAGTCAACCTTATGATAGATGGAGAAAAGATTGAAATAGTCAATGATTTCTTCTTGCTTGCATCAACAATCAACACCGTTGGAACCAGCAGTAAGGAAACCAGGAGACGTATTGCACTGGGCAAGTCTGCTATCAGGAACTTCTCCAGAATGCCAACGAGCAATGATATAAGTCTTAAGACTAAGGTGTGCCTGATTTAGACCATGGTCTTCTAAATCAACTGCTATGCATCAGATAGCTGGGCGATAAATAAGGATGACAGAAGAACCAAACTCTTTTTTTCTTTCTTTCTTTTTTTTTTTTTTTGTGGAGGGAGTCAAAAGTTTATAATTCAGATTAATAACAAAATACAGTCAAGACAGCTCCCAAATGCTTACGCAGGCACCTCAGCCTTTTGGTTCTAAGTATTTCCAAGTTCTCAGTTCTGCCAATATTGGCTTCCCCCAAACTGTCTCAAAAAGTTCTCAAGCCTGCCAATATTGTCTTTTCCCATAATTGTCAAACAAAGTGCTTGGTCCTGCCAATATTGGCTCCCCTCTACTCCACTGCCCCAAAGTCCCATTTAAAGTCTAATTCTCCAGTTCAACCATCACTGCTGCCACCATCCCGAAGCATGTCTTACATTTCACTGGGGTGGGGGCAGTCTCTTGCCTGGCTAGGTGAAGAATTCCATCTCTTATGGTGCATTAAGAATTCCTCAGAATTGAACCTTTGAGTTGTAGTGTTGAAGACTGCTGAATATTCCATGAACTGTGAAGAGAAAAAAACTGATATGTCTTGGGGAAAGTGCAGCCAGAGGGGTCCTTGGAAACAATGGCAAACTTTGTCTTTCATACTTTGAACATGTAGCTAGGTGATCATGCTTGGAAATAGGGAGGCTCAGTGATACATTGACAAAGGAGAGGAAGACTTTGTGATATTCCAGAGTTAGACTGACAGGATAACTTCAGCAATCAACTTCAGTGTGTCAGGAATGATGAAGGTGGCACAGGATAGGGTAGGGTCCAGGTTGGCTCTTCATAAGGTCATTATGAGTTGCGCTTGACTCAGTGGCACCTAACAACAACTATCTGGTACCAGAAAACTTTAGCACCAGAAACAGAAATGCTCAGGCAAAGTAGCTGCTCCCTCCTCTTTGGCAAAATAGTGTCAGTGACTCTAATCAGTCACTTATTTTAATCCCTCTTCTTGGCCCGTGGTAGCAAGTTACCAGTGTCTATGAATTAACCAACGATGAGTTTTCCATCTAAATGGAATCATATAATATGTTGTATTTATGTGCATGGTTGTTTCAAGATTTTTAAAATCCGAGTTAATGTTTTCAACATTTTTTTCAAGGAATAGCACATATCTCTAACAGGATATATGTTTTTTAAATTGGTACTGAGTGGTCTGCTCTTTTAACAAGATCCTGCCTTAGGGAAACATTAGCTCTTTAATGGTCACAGGCCAGGAACTCAACGACTCAACTCACTAAAAGTCCTCTGAGATATAGTCATAACATTTTAGAACTGTTTCCATTTGCAGTACTTTACCACCAAATCAAGAGGGTTCTGGAGTAAAGATATTGGATTACAACTGAGACAGCTACAAAACACAGAATCTATTTAAAAGGACTTTTCAGGGATGCCCAGAGATAACAGAAGCCTAGAGGGTAGGAAATTGCACTGCTAACCCAAAGGCAAGTGGTTTGAATCCAGCAGCTGCTCTGCCGGGTGAGGGTATGGGCGGGGAGGGGGTAAGAAGAGGGCAGAGGGAAGGTAGGCAATCTTCTCTTGCAAGATTCATGGCCTCTGAAAACCACTGAAGGGTCAGCTATCAGTTCTTTCTGACTTGGCAATGAATTGGAGGGCTTTTTGATAGTTAACAACGGAGAAAAAAACCAGAACATTAGAGAAATAACTCTGTCTACAGGAAACATGAAACACAATCTTAACTCTTAACCAAATAAACATAAAACTTCACACTACAGAACTATTTACAACTCAGTTCTTATTTCCCAATACCCATCTGGTGGTCTAGTGGTAAGAAGTTGCACTGAACGGGTCATTCAATATGAATGTGTGTGTGTGTGTGTGTGTGTGTGTGTGTATAGATTTTTTTTTAAATCAACTTTTTAAATTCTTATAAATTGTTGTTGTTGTTATTAGGTACCATCGAGGCAGAATTGACTCAGGGCTGATCTTCCAGTGGATTTTCAAAGGCTGTAAATTATACAGAAGACTGTCTATCTTTCTCCCACAGAGCATCTAATGAATTTGAACTGTGAGGCTTTAGATTGGCAGTGCAAGTCCTTCCCACAAGCCACCAGAGTATAGAAAACTAAATTATTGAGGGTACTGAAATCAATGTATTATATACATATATGATAAAATGTATATGAATGGTTAAATGAAAAATTAATTTGCTTTGTAAACTTTCACTCAAATCATAGTGTAAAAAATATTTTTTTAAAAAGGAGAAAATACTAAACAAACCTAGTGCAGAGACAGAATATGCAACCTGTAATCCTTTTCCCAATTCTGTTAATAACTCCTTACCTCTGTTATTACTGAAAGATAGCAGAGAACTATTCCTCTTCATTGGAATTTTCCCTGAACTCATTACTGAAAGGAAGACCTTGCCGATAAAGGCCAGAGCTTCCATATGAATATTTCATATAGTTATCAAAGGTTGAACTGTGGCCTAGCTGTCACATTTTAAATATACTTCCAGAATAAATTTTCACAGCCAATTTGGCTGCAGAAAAAGATAATCATTAATTAGTTCCATGAACACATAACTTTTTGGATCAAA